AGTCATAGTCATAGTCATCAACCTAACCTCACTGAACTATGAATCATAGTCATAGTCATAGTCATCAACCTAACCTCACTCAACTATGAATTTGATCTTGAATTTTAATGCAAAACGTACTCGATGAACGGCCTTTGATCATCACACTTTCGAGCTGCAGCTGACATTCGAATCAAATATTGATGATAATCAAGCAACAATAATGGCCATCGATGAAAATATTATCGAAGGTTTACAAGATGAACAAGATGATAAACAGGTTAGTTACCTGGTTAAACATTTGCTAATCTTGATTGAATTTTAATCGATTCGTTTATGATGATCATCATCGTTAGATATTTATACTCGGTACAGATATAACGAAAATTCCATGTTTCAAGGATTCATTCCTGACCGGTATTTATGCCGGTTTTGGTTGTGGTATAGCATCATTTTTGGCTACAAGTAAGTATTTTATTTCATTAAAACATATTGGATAACAATATTTTTCTCTATTTTCAAATCAACAACGAATTGGATTTATTTAAAAAAGGTCGAGTGCTACAATCGACAAATATTTCGATTCTATCATTTGCATTGGTTACCTATGGTTATTGGTTCAATTGTCGAATGAAATGGGCCAAAGATAGTTTTAATTGTCGCCAAGCCGAAGGAACGTTTGCCGAAGAAATCGAAATGATCAAATCACGCAAAACAAACAAGATAACCGAAGACTATTAACATCCATTCAGATCCATTTAGATTGGCTTGTATAGCATGGTTGTAACGTATTTTTTACGATACCGATGTATAGCACTTAAAACCATTACTCCATCCTTTATGAAAGAAAGAAAAATTGTAATAAATTTCCAAAAAAACATCATTCAATCTAACCTTGATAGATAAGGCATACAAATGATTCAACATAACATGATTAGGTTGAGGCAATAGAGTTGGTTCACCAAAATTTACCGAAGGATTATTCAGGATAACCTGTAAAAGATGTGGTGGCAATATTGGTGGACCACTTTGATTACCACCGGAACCACTAGTAGTGGAATCGTGTGAAAAAGTTGGTATAGTTTGTGAATATGAACCGGGTGGTGATCCCGATAATGCATTACTTGTAGAATTAGCATTGGTTGCATTCGAATTGTTATTGTTGGATGCCAAATCCATGGCCAATGCTTCAAATACTTCGAAATCCGATTTATCAACATTCAATACATTGTTGGACTGGTGATCATCCAATTTAGCGCTTTTATCAATTTTTTCAATACCATCCACTAGGAATTTATATTTATGAACTCCCTATAGAATCAAGTGTGTCAGTTCATCATCAGCTAAAAGTAATCATCATTAACCATACCTCAGGTATATCGATAATGGTAACAAAATCACCTTGACTTTGAACCATTCGTACTGGTTTCCAATCGGAAAACGTGCCCGTAATGTAAACATCCTTACCACCACCATCCCATTTGAATACGGTTGGTAGCATTTGATCATTCAATGCATTGATACCTTGACTGGATGTGTCCAGATAATTTTTATAATCATCACCATTATCTTCGCCACTATAATCACATGAATTCTGATAACAAAGTACTGGCCGTCGTTTTGTGCTGAAATCGAATGTTTTACCATCCTCGCCAGGTCTTGGTGATTCCCGACGGCCATCTAAACCACCACCACCGCCATTATAAACATCGATCGAGTATGGCCGTTCGATGCGTTGTTTTGAATTGTTAGTATTTGCGTTTCCCATTACTTAAGTAATAATTTGCATTTGATTATTAGGTAATCCAATTTATAAAGATGCTATGTATTGTGGCGCATCAACATCAGATGAAAACATTCATCGATTATTGTCATGTTCGTAACCAAATGCAACCAAACTGCGCCTTTCACTCAGACAAAAACAAACATCAAAACAAAAACAATTAAAACGTACTCATCATTGATAACATTGGTGAACGAATATTAATGTGGACAATGTGATGCATAAACAAACCGCAATGCACATGTGCAATTCTTAGCTATATAATCAAGGTTTCAAAGTGTTACGTCTTTTACGACTAGTTTGCCGCTACCAAACAACATCACACACTTTCTCTCTTTGTCTCTTCAGTATTGATTCGATGTTTTTTCATTTCGAAAAATGTCTGCGAAGAAGCCTGAAGATCATGAACGATATCTGAACAATGATAATGAGGATGACGACGATGACGATGAAGATGATGAGGATTATTTGCCCAATGATGATAACCACAACGATGATGATGCCGGTCCGACCAGTGGTGAAGGTTTGTTTTGTTTTGTTATCATTCCTCTTTGACGATTGTTTGTTTGCTCGTTTCAGATTCCGATGTGACCGATCAAGAAGCCGATGATGATAATGATAATGCAGATGACATTCCAGCAAAGAAAACTGCTGAAGATGTGAAAATTGATACAAATAAACTGGATGAATTGTGGAATGATTTCTGTAGCGATCAATCATCAACAGCGGCCAAATCAGATGATAAGAAATCAGCAGAATCTCCGAAAAAAGTCACAACGTTGACCAAACAATATGATTTTGCCGGCGAAATTGTTCTGATTAAAGAAACGGTCGATGCATCATCAGTTGCCAAAACTCCTAATGTTGATCAACAATCATCATCAACAACATCAGCAGCAGCGGAGAATGGAAATTCTAATCAAGGCATAAAACGCAGTGGCGGTCTTTCCGGTTTGTTGACGCAGTTGAAAAAGCCAAAAATCAGTACACTGAAGAAATCATTACATGATTGGACCGAATATAAAGAATCGAATCGATTGGACGATGAATTGGATCAACATCGACGATCAAAAGGGTCATTTTTGGAACGTCAGGCATTCCTTTCCCGAACTGATGTTCGTCAATTTGAACAAGAAAAATCTGTACGCGATCGTCAACGTAAACTGCGTGATTTGAAACAGCAACCAAAATAAATTGATTAAATAAATAAAGCATTATAAATGAATTCGGTTTAATTTTGTTCACTAGAATCACATAGGCCTGATCAGAACAGATTCGGGAATAAGATTCTTTGTTTGATCGTCGTCGTCACTGACGGTAATGTTGTTGTTGTGGTTAGGCCAACCTTTCGAACAACAATGACTATCAGCATAACAGATTAAAGCGATAATGGATGTAAATAGTAAAAATGTTATCATTGAACATAGATCTTGATTTGATATGATCATGCAAGTAATCGTAGCCATCAATAGAATAGCAAAATACAGACCTGAAAAACCAAATCATCATCATTGATAAAAACGCCAAACAAACAATGAAACTTACCCAAGGAACTCACGACAATCATACGATGTTTATCCGTTTGAATAGTATTATCATGGTTGTTGACTTCCGCATCATCATCGATGTTTAGTCCACCACTTTGTTTTTCAATGTTCGTTATGGCCGTCGATTGTTTGTTCATTTAGGTTTGGTTTTTGGTTTTTTCTGTGGAGATTCGAATTGTTAACTGTGTCTGATCATTTTCTTCTCATTCATTTTAATCATGATAAAAAACAAAAGTCAAACAAATTGGAGTGAGTTGGCGAGTGAAAGTCGTCATGCATTATTGATTTGATATAATTCATTTCGATTTCATTCGAATATCGATTTTTTCTAGTTTTTCTATAGTGTAGAGTTAGACAACGCACCTATCTATCCATCTAGCATGCTCTCTATATATTTTTCCATTGCTATAGATATGTGCTTTTCATTGTTCGGTATAGTTTCAATCAAGCGTACCAAAAGGAAAAAAAGTATCATTTTATTTTATTTGGAAATCACCTTTGCTGATAAGATTTCATTCATTAAAATTTATTATCTTTCCCTTGGTTGTCGGCCAAATCATTGGATGGCAGCACTGTGGTGGAAAAACAAAACCAAAATCCAATGAATCAGAGTATCCGGTGTGAATGTTTTTAGTTTGAATGTTGTTCACTTTAATAAAGTATGACCGAATGACATCATCGAATGGTATCCATTACATTTTGTATCATCGTCATTAATTCATTTCAGAATCTCGAATGACAGTGATTCAAGATTGGGATGAGATGGTATCCAATACAAACACGAGTCATGTTGGCTGAAATACTTATATAATACCCATATTGTGATGAGAAAATGAATGGAGAATGGATGAAAATGGTTCGGTCGAATGATTACGCCCAGGTGAGTAAGAGAAAGAATATAAAGCTAATTTGGTTTTTTCCTTTCTTATTATACCTGGCTGGCATTTCATTTCATTCATTTGGGTGTTTGGTGTTGCTAAGTTTTTGGTTGGTCGGTTGGCCAAGAGAGAGAATTAGTGAATGAGTGAGTGAAGCCAACCAAGTTTTTGCGTTGCAATCGATACACCGAAACACCGTTATGCAATAATGATGATGATCCCTATCTGATCTCATCATCATCACCAATCACTTTTGCTTTCCACAAAAAAACGACAATGAACCAATGAACAACGGTCGAGATTCAACCTAAGGGATAAATATTCAACCAAGTTCATCGAGGTGTGTCATTCAATTCAATCCAATGATGATGATAATGATAATGGCCTTTGAACCGTTATTTTGTTGGAATCAATTAATTCTGTATATGTGCTCATCACTGCATCATCATTCAAGTTCTGTACCAGGTTTATCATCAATATTGTTATAACTGTAATAATAATAATGATGATGATGATGATGATGATGAGTATGGTAGTCGATTTTTTTCGATTTAACAGTCATCATCATCTGTTGTTACTGTTTAGAAAACCTTGGAACGAAATAAATGTTTCGGACACGTAGCACGTTTCATTTCATTTATTGCAGGCTATAGGGCTGAGAATCTACCTGGAATATATCCAACTATCTGCAGTCAGTCAGTTCATTTGCTTAAATTGCAAGATGAGAATTTTCATTTTTTATCATTGCCCATCATAACAGTTTTTATTTTTATGAGGATGATCGGTATTTTCAAAAAAATGTTAGGTAATAAGACTGTTGTCAAACTATACTGGTAAATGTAAAACTGTCCATATAAGGCCGATTAGATAAAAAAAACTAAAAGCGAAAAGCCATTGAATTTGGTGATGTGTGACGGTGTTCATGATGAAAATATTTTCTCTCCCACACAAGAACAGGAACCGTTATTGGTGGCACGTCTAAAAAAGAATGAATCCAAGAATGATTTTCACTGCTGGTAACTATGATGATGACAATAATCAAACAACGCAAAATATACACTGAGCATATTAAAGTAATTCATATGCCTAGTAAACCACAATAACAACAAGCAGAATCTAATCCATTAAGAGTAATTCCGTATAGCCAAAGTGAGTGAGTCAGTTAAAGTAATAACATTTTTACCTGGCCAGATATGGCTGCTCTTTATTGTGGTAATATAATTATTGCCCATATTTTCCTAACCTCAACCACTGAAATGAATGACTTTGGATAACAGTCATTATTGTAGCGATATTATTGAAAGCGCAACGGAATGTTTGCTTGCTTGCCCATTCCAATTATACCTCAATTCTATGACAACCAAACCAAACCGAGACAATGAGCAACAAGGGAGCCATGAACATGTATTTGGCACAGATGGCCAATATTTACTCAAAAACCAAAAAAATTGCTATTATATTTGGATCTTAGTCATATAATCTAAAATGGTGATCACACATTATCCATCCAATCATCTTAGCCAAAACCAAACAAAAAACCAAAACCAACAACAAAAACCAAACAACAATTCGCCTGCTATTGCTTGACGACGATCGAAAGTAGCAAATATTTCTCTCTCTCTCTCTCCAGGGTAATTGATTCTGGAAAATCGAATTTTTATTTATCAAATCGAACGCTAATGATAGTCAAGGCAGAAAAATGAAAGTGAAAAAATATTTTCAAGTTCATTTACAAAAGGAATTTGGAATATTTTCTTTGTTTGATTTGGATCTTGACAAAAAGACGATAATGTTGTTATCGACAAAAGGGAGAGAGGCAACATTAGGATTTTGTCAAACACAACGACATACCAAATACATTAGGCCAACCAACCAAACGATATTCATCATCATTGGAAAAGGGAATGGCAATATTAATATGATATGATATGACTGGAATTGTTTAATGAAAACAAAATCATAATCATTATTAGTTAGTTAATCGTTATTAATTAGTCATCATAATAATCATCATCACATTAGTCCCATACAACAAAATATATTCAAACTTTTCCATAACACAGACACCGACTCAGTCAGTGTCTTTTTTTTGTTGAAAAAAATCCAGATTTTTAGTTTTGTTTTATCACCAATTTTTTATTTGTTGGTGTTTGACAAATCGGTCACCATCTCCATTACCGATTCTGTCGTTGGGCCGATAATGTTTGGCGTGCACGCAAAGCCCAATTTTTTAAAAAAAATTCTGTGTTAACGCGCTCGATTCTTAGCTGCTGCTGTGTGAAAATATTAATGGTTTTGCTTAGATCTCTATGTGTTATGGTGTTTTATATCGACATGTACGATGGATGGATGAATGAATGGATATGGCCATTTATTATTCATTTGGCCAAACTGAAAAATAAAGACCAGAAGCGCGCCCGTTTTAAAACCCAGATTTTTTTTTGTTTCTCAAATCTTCTGCACTGTTGATGATTGTCTTTGATGACTGATGACTGATGACAGTTAATGAGAATAATACGTGTTCTTATTGCCGTTAAATTACTTAGAAACAACATTTTTTAAATGTGTGTGTTTGAAACAACGAAAAAATCCATTTAAACAATATGGATGACTGAATGGCGAAAAGCGAACAAAAACAAGGAAACAAGGTGCTCAAAATATATATGGTTTATCAATCTGGCCGCAAATAATCGTTCCAATGCGTTTCGTAACCAAAAAAAAGATATGAGAAAAAAATTCTAGTAAATACCATATGTCATAACACTCTCTTGCATTCTGCAGAAAGAAATCAGCAAGTCAAGCAAAAATAAAAAATGTTTCATAACACCATTGATGATGGCATCCTTGACACGTACCGTTTTTTCTTTCTTTTTCTGAGTGATGAATCTGGCTTCAGGCTACATCACTCACAAAAACCGATTGTCAACCGATTTTTTCGATATGGTCTTAGAGAGAGAGAGAGAGAATTGAGTGCATATGATGCATTATAATGCAATCATCACTGTCATCATGTGTTTCTTAATTCATTTTCGATTCATTAAGATTTTATTATGTAGATTGGTTATTAATGAATGAATCATTCAGTCAATCTAATCAAATAATGGCTATTAAGTTAAGTTCAGTTGCCTTTCGGGCACCATCGCCAAACAATATTTTTTCACAGTTAATATCAATATGACTCAAATCAAAATCTGAAATGAAATGCAATGAGAAGTTTTTTGTTAAAATGTCATCCGATTTCGATTTGAATGATTGTTTTAATTAAGAATCAGATCCATTTTCATCATCATCATCACTGTATTCATTTATTTTGCTTGAGTTTGAATTGATGTTATTACCAACAGCCAACATAACTGTTTCAATGTGGTCTTGGGTAATATTTTTTAAATAAACTTCTATGATGATCATGATGGTCGCCACAAAATTACTTGCAAACAAAGGGAACCAGAATGGAGGAATAAATGAAATTTTAATTGCCTTTGATGTTTGCTTGCTTGCTCTGCCATATTAATAACAATAATGACTATGTTACATGGTTGTTATTCAAATTTCAATATAATGCATTTTTCGCATCACATTCAATGTGGCGTCTACATTAAACAAAGGGAGAACAGTGGTCCAAACTAATTTTCTGTTGCTGCATATCCAAAAAATCTTGTCTAATTAAGAATCCTTTCATTTGGCGACATTGTAATGTAATACAAGCAGGCGAAAGCACACCACCACCAAAATGATGATTATTATAACATTGGTCCGAACAACAACATCGATTATTCAAATCAAAAAAATTACGTGCCTTTACGAAAATGTCTTATTCTTTGGTAGTGATTGCAGCCAACAGAAAAAAAGAGTTTAGGCAATACCCGTAGGAATGAATGACGACCGACCAGGAAAAAATGATGTCATTAATGTCCATTTAGTTAGTTAGTTGGGTTTTTAGTTTTTGTAGAAAATTATGGCCAGAATTTAGTTTAATTTAAAAAATTTCTCAATTAGCCAATGTTTTTTCAGTTTTGTTGTTCGGCCACTCGAGGCCAACAACGCATCTGGCCACCACCATCATCATCATCATCATAATCAGTGAAATAAAAGTGAACATGTTTCTAAGTTTTTTCCATCATCATCGAAAGTCAGAATCGATTGCATATATAGTGCTTGTAAGCATCGCACACACAATCATTCTTTTGATTCTATACCAGATTCTGTGTATAGTGTCTTTCCATTGTTGAGATTAAGACTATGCAGATGCAGCATTATAATGATGATGATGATGATTATAGATCTAAGTCAAACAACAATAAGCCTTTCCTTTTTGATTTTCTCATTTGATTTCCTTTGATTGCGCACGATCCAAAATGAATAATAAAGTAAA